GGCAAACTCATCTGTGGTGACCACACAGGTATCTAATCTCATGCCGATCAGAAACCCTGAAAGCCACGGAAGGCACAAATTATTGCCTAATACAACAGGTTCTTCTGGAGAGGGAACAGGTTCTTGCTGTTCAAAGGTGGCCTGCAGAGCAACAGCCTCAGCTTCACTTGCTAGAAACGTGCATCCCAGACCTCACTCCAGACCTCTGGAATGAGAATCTGTGTTTAACAAGATCCCCAGGTGATTTATTTGCATCTTAAAGTTTGAGAGAACTGCTTCAAAACAAGGGAACTATGGAGAATATTGAGTGGATACTTGTGAGTGATAAGTTGTGAATTACCAGTTAGTGGAAGCAAACGCAGTAACCCGCTGAAGCTATCAAAGTAGGACAGTTTTAAGCTGACGAAGCATTGCTGGTACAGAGCGCTTGTCAGCCAAAGGCTGAATTCAGCGCCATCAGTGATAAGAAATGTCACCTTCACTGAAGATGTTGTAGGCAAGCAAGGGAGGAAATTTACGTTGCATGTCCCACAGTGACTTAACCACTGCAGGGGTGAAGGGGGAAGGTTTCCCCTCTGCCCTCTGAAGGTTTGCTGCAAATGAACTGACAAAAGGCACAGTAGCAGGAGAAAAAGGCATAGAAAATGTACTAATGGGCATCCGGGACCAGCGCAGGAGTGCGATCACCCAACAAGCCAGTGAGATCCAGATGTTTATACGCTTCTTCCTAGGGGAAGGGAGACGGGGAACGTGGTGATGTGAGTAGGAAATGATTCTGGGGGATGCATGGGCCTAGCGCTCAGACCCTGGTCAGTAGATGATTCCCTCTGGGAACGGAATGGGCATGGGGAAAGGACAACGACTCCTGACAAAGTGTGTCCAGGTGCGGGCACATTCCTCAGTCTTCCTTCTTTAGTTGATGAAAACTCAGGGAAGGGGCTGAAGGTGATTGTTTTCTTATTTGACTGGTACCGTCCGTATGCGGATAAGGGAAAAAGCCTCTTCCAGTACCCACTGACCTTCAACGGCCTTTAATTCAAAGTACTCAGCATACCATGGTGCCAATATTTTGGGGTATGGTTCCCTGGGCTCCTTCAACCACATGGACTCAGCACCCCAGAAGAGGTTGAGGGAGGGTGGCTCCCCCTCTCCCACCTCTCCAGTCTGCGAGGCCCACCTGGGCCTGGGAGATTCAGCTTCTGCTGGAAGCGGCCTTTTCAAAACGGCTCCTCTGCGAAGGGAGCCTTCTCTACAGCTAATCAGCCACTAAGAGAATAACATTTCTCTGTATGATTATGTTTACAAATAACTTCGGGTTCTTTTTAAATGAGTTATTGTGGTCATTTGTCTGAAGGAAATACAGTAAATTTCCCCTAGACTGTAATACGGGACAAAACTCCCTAGCTGTGTTGAAACTCTCTCTTCCCTGAGCTCTTGCTTTGATTGATAATCCATTAATTAGCACATTATCCCTTTTGGCACAGGGAAACAGGTCAAATGAGAACTACAATTCATTGAGTGCCTCCTCTTGCCAGATGCTGCTTATGTGTAGGTAGTTCATCAAATTCCCCCCAATTCTGAGATTGCTCTACAGAAGGCGAAATGGGCTCACAGAAATGACCTAACCTGTGCCAGGCCACATGGCTACGAAACGACAGAAACCATGACTTGAGCCCTGGTCTACTTCCCCAAGCCTACGCCTTTCCCCGCCAGCCTTGCAGGCTGTGCTGCCCTCAGCCTAGCTGCATTCGTGCTTCCTGTGGGCTGATGCTTTCTGGCCAAGGTCACGTCTGCTCTGAGCACAAATGAGACACTGACAGTGCTTACAGCTCAGCTTAATATCACAGGCTTTTTATTCCTGATCTCTCAGGTACCAAAACAGGACAAGAAAGGCTTTTTTTTTGTTAGGTATTTCCTGCTGAATTAAACCTAGGAAATATTGGAAATCTTAGGGACATCTGATCTTGATCTTGTAGGGATTTTTTCCAACCCCCCACCTGCTTTTCTTCATTGAGAAAAAAATCATTCTTGTTGGCCCTGTGACAGGGCTGGGAGATGCTCTGTAACAATGAAGCACAGCAGGCCCGTCTTCCGAAATTCTTTTAAGGGATATTTTTAACCACAGTGGCCTGAGCCATTCAATCTAGCATCTTGATGTGGAAGTGGGGGTTTAACCATGATCATATATAGCAAGAGATCTGCCGCTAAGCAAGAGATCCTCCCGCAGCATGTTGCCCAGGGGCAGTACCAAATGACCTCATGCAAAGACACCCAGGGTGTGTGAGTGGAGTGTGGATGAATTTCAGGCAGAACAGACAGAACCTTTCTGATTAGGGCTACAGCTTGCACAATATGGTTCTGATATGGCTAGGATGGAGCCATTTTGCCAAAAAAAATTATTATGATGTGCCTGGTGCTAAATGAACATTAAAGAAGCAACTGAGTTTCCATTTTCCAGACCTTTTGATGTTGTGCAAGAGATGAAAATCAAAACCAAAAAACAGTACCAGTATTGCTTGTACAGGTACAAGCGAGAGTCATGAAGTACCGGCCCTGCTGAGGCTGGGCTGTCAGCGGAGCCCTGCTCGGCTCCCGCCTGGGGTTTGGCAGTAGCTTCCTCCTGCCCTCATCGTCCAGCCTAGCAAGGCTCCACAGGTGACAGGCTGACAACTATAAATACAATTCTGCTTTTTATTATTTCTTTTGTTTTCGGTATTTCTCTGGGGGAGGGGATGCCACACTTCTACTCAATTAAGAGAAACAATTTTACAGTATAGCGGTCTTGGCCTTTTATTATTTTTACACCTATTTTTATGCCACGAATTCATAGGGACTGGGTTCCAGCAGCTCAGGCTCCTGGCCACTGGTTCTCACAAGCGTACTTCCGTGGGTGGAGCAGGCTAGTGCTTCAGCGCACCCAGGTTCCTTTCTCCTCTGCTTCCTTCTGTTTCTGATCATTTTTCTTCACACGTCTCAGGAAGTGGCTCGGCTCAACATGCTCAATATGCACATCAATTCTCCTGCAAGAAGCCTGTCCTAATGTGTTTGCTCACAACGGTGCCTACAGCAGGCTGGTAACACTGCAGGCCCTTCCAGCTTCGCCATGCTAACGTTAGGAGGCATTCCTTTTTGAACAGTACCTATTCCCTTGATGTCTGCAGTATCGTGTTTCTTGTAGATTCACATGTGTTGGGAAAATGGAACAATTTGGTCAGGCTCCCCTCGCCCCAGATCCAGTTCAGGGTCATCCAGTAAGCATTGTGTGTGTGTGGGTGGAGTGAGTGCACCCACACGGCGCTGCTTTGACTGGTGTTTACTGCCTAGGGCACCTGCCTTGTGTGGCCATGTTTTTCCAGACCTGCAGCTTCCAAGGACGGTGTGGCGCCCCAGATCCAGTTCAGGGTCATCCAGTAAGCATTGTGTGTGTGTGGGTGGAGTGAGTGCAGCCACACGGCGCCGCTTTGACTGGTGTTTACTGCCTAGGGCACCTGCCTCGTGTGGCCATGTTTTTCCAGACCTGCAGCTTCCAAGGACGGTGTGGCCGGTTGCCTGGCTTATAAATCTGCATGAAGGGGTCTGGTGACCCAGGCTGGCGTGTGAAGGGTTTGTGACCCAGTCTGTGAATGGGCTTGAGGGGTCCGGGAGCTCCAGACCCAGCCCTAGCTCAACCATCGGCCCAGCTGGTGCAGGATTACCGGCAGGTAAAAGAGCCGCAACAACTAGCTAACCCTAACCCTAGCTTTACAATTGGTATCACGGACAGGATTAAGAGCTAGACAATTGGCACTGTGAGCAAGATTCGAGACATTAGCCTTGCAGTAGCCCTTGTTGTAGCCAGACAACACGTATGTGGCCAAAGGAACAACTCCGTGTTTTCTGAAAGGCCTGGAGAACATGTATTGGGGGCCTCTCCTCTTCCCTTCATGTCTGTCATCTTGGCGACTTACTGGAAGGTGGCGGTTCTGGCCAAAAGGAAGGCCGAGTCTTCTTTCTGATGACTCCCTTGTAAACACTTGCAGTGGCTCCCAACACCGACAGCACCCAGAGAAAGCCCAGATGTCCCCGGCTGTCTGTCTTGTCCTGCTTTTCCACTGCCCCTTCATCTCCCTCATTCTTCTGAGTGCTTGGCTTCCCTGTATCTTTTCAGACCCCTTTCGTTTTGTTCATTCTCTTCTCTCTTTCAAGACTTGGCTTAGGTGAGGCACAACCTCTAGGACTCTTTTAGAAGTGTACCCCTCTGTTGATTCTTATCATGACACACGGTATGGCCTAACAGCTAGGAGCGCAGGGTCTGCACAGAGGCATGGGGTGTATTCTGACTCAGCCATTTACAAGGCTGCCTTAGGTAGAATATTTTATTCCTGCTGTGCCTTATTTTCTCATCTATGAAAAACACAGTAGTCAGACCTACTTCACTGGGCTGTTAGGAAGACATGAGAACAGCACCTGGAACGTAGGAAGTATGTGATAAACGCTAGTGGTTGACACTGGACATGTGGATTGATTCTCTTCACTGGTGTGTCTCATTTGTCAACTCTAAAACTTCTGAGGCCAGGGACAGTGTCTGATCATCTGTGACACCTCAGTGCTAGTGGACAGCAGGTGCTCACTACTGTTCCCGAGTGAACTGTTTAAGAGGTGAACATAAAGCTCACATGACAGATGAAAACACATGCCAGGTGGGGATGGTGTTCTCCTCACAAAGACGTAAGGAAGCCACCTGTGCCAAGGCTGGAGGAAGCAGCTTGGATGGTGGGCGACTGTTACAGTGAGACAGGACAGAAGGCACAGCCAGCAAGGCCAGAGGTGAGTGTAATCCAACATGGTCTTTCAAGCAGCTGCATGGAGAAGTGGCAGCTAAGACTCTGGATGCAACAGAGTCAGGTGGAGAAAATGCCTGGTGGCAGGGGGACTGGGCAGAAAAATATGGCAATTATTCATTTGTAGCTTTAGTGGCTACTACCCCAAATCTTCTCCCTCAACAAGAAAAGGCAATTTTATGATCACAAAGAGACCACATTTTTTTTAATTGATAACTCCGTCTCTACATACACACAATATTGCACAAATCAGAGGTGGATCAACAACTGTATTAATGATA